GCTACTCGGGAGTAACAATAGGATTTAGGCCGCGGGGTGCTTCCAGCAGACAACGGTCTTTTTTAGCCCGGGTTCAGCTAGAACTTCCTGCGGTAGTAGAAATAGGGAGGTTGATCTGGTCTAGATGGGCTTTGGAGTACCTTCCCTCTCTTTTTCTGACCACACTCTCTTTTCTTTTCCCCTCCTCTCTGGGCAGCGGTGCTGAATACGGATCCCACGGTGCTGGTCAAATACCGGGCCGGCTTCAACGAATGCGTGAACGAAGTGACGCGCTTCCTCTCCACCTGCGAGGGGGTGACCGCCGAGGTTCGCACCCGCCTCCTCAGCCACCTGGGCAGCTGCATGAGCCAGATCAACGCCATGAACTACCCCACCCCGCCGCCGGCCCCAGGAGCCTCTTTTGGGCAAGCCCTGGTCCAGATCCCCGCTGGCCCGGCGGCACCAGCGCCACCAGCGCCTCCAACTGGCAGTGTGGCTCCTTGCAAGCCGTCCGGCAACCCAGCGGCTCCCGCGGAGACTCCAAAGGTCTACGGCGGCTTCCAACTGGTCCCGGCCTCCGATGGCCAGTTCGCCTTCCTCATCCCCAATGCGGCGTTTGCCCCCCACGGCAATGCGGTCATTCCGCTCTACGCTAGTGCGGGGACTGGCCCCGGGGGGCTCCCACCCCCCACGGCCACCATCTCACCCGGATCGGGTGCCCCATCCCTTCCGGCAGACTCAGTTTGGAGACCTTGGTGATGGGGCGCACTGGACGCAGAGGGACCATTATGGGAGCGGAGCCTCAGGTGGCTTGGACCGGGTGGTCTCCCTGAGAGTGGCCAGGATTTGGGGTCCTCTCCCTCTTTCTGGGTGGAAGGAGCCTGGAAGGAACCCATGGGGTCCTTGTGAATTGTCCACCTGCAACCCTTGAATTGTGCCTTCGTGTGTGTGTGTGTGTGTGTGTGTGTGTGTGACAGCAGACCCCTCCTCTTTCCCCTCCTGTGCCCACCGGTGTGGACTGGCGTGGGCTGATGTGGATGGTCAAAAGGGCAAGGGGACGTCAAAGGGCCTCACCCGGCCACCCACCCACCCTTCATTTTCTTTTAAAATGGCACCAAAGATTTCTTTGATCTTAAAACGGAAGAAGGCCTCTCCCTTCTTTTTGGAAGCTCCGTGACAGAAATAAAAAGGACTGCTAGCGTCATTCTAGTAAGAGGATGATGGGACTCTCTGCTTGGAAGAGGGGAGGCAGACGCTTGAATGGCTCCCTGCTTTGGAGGAGGAGGAAGAGGAGGAAGGATCAGGCGCGGCCAGTTGGTCACTATGTGGCCGCATCACTGTGGGGCAAAGGGCAGTGGGGGACGCCCTCTCCCTCTCCCCTGCGTGATTTCTTGGATGACCCTGGCTCTTTCTCAGGGGCATTTGGCTACTCAGGATTGGACAGGTGCTGAATCCTCCAAAGTGAAATTATCCATGCAAGGATAGAGAGGACCACCAATAATAGGAAGGACCACCGAATATAGAGTGGGTCCTTGGGATCCACTGGGGCTTGGTCCCAGGACCCCCCATGGATACCAACATCAAGTCTCATCATATACAGTGGGGTAGGAAAATGGTGACCTTTACATAAAATGGCAAAATCAAGGTTTGCATTTTGAAATTTTCAAACCATGGATGCTTGATTCTGTGGGTATGGAGGGCCAACTGCAAACGCAGTTCGTGGAAATAAGTCACATTCAGAAAACAGAGACAAATGGAGTCAGCGGATGGGATTGTTCTGTGCAGCCGAGGCAGTCCTCTGAATAATGTTTCCGTTTCTTCTTCTGTAACCTGGCCATGCATATTATGTTCATACATATTGGACATGGCTTTTGCAGTCAGCTTTTTATATTGCTGTCATACCATTTGATTATACCTCTGCCTGTTTTCTGAACATCATGCAACCTGCTTTCTTGATTCGTATTTACCGAATGCTTTTGGTGTTGTGAAGTCTCCTCCTGGTCAGTAGGTCAGTTTGCTTGCGTGGTTTTCCCAGGGGCAGAGGGTGGCTGTGGGAAGGACTTTGCCAAGAAAGGAGCCGTCCATCCGACTGTCCATCCATGGGGTTTTTGGGAAGGACCTCCTGAAGGGGAGAGCTGCTCCTTTGGAAGGCAGTGGGCTTCCAGCTTTGTGGGAAGTTTGTAAAATAAATAAAGCGTTGAAACCTAGGTGGGATGGCCGCCTCTTGGAGTAGATTCCTGCATGGCGGAGGGTTGGAGCAGATGGCCTTTTGGGTTCCTTGAGGGAAGGAGAAGGGAATCCACGCAGGTGCGGAGGGGGGGGTCACAGAAGCCTGGTGCTGTTGTGGGGATGCAAAGGCAGCAGGAACTCTCCCAGGGACTCCCGTTTAGGGGGCACCCTATAGAGACTGGCACCCAAGGGGTCTTCGTCCTGCTGTGGGCAGCCCTGTCCGAGTCCTTGCATGAGAGCTGACCGCCTCGGAGATGCTCCGGCCAGGCCCGGTTCTGTCCTGGGCATCCATGCTCATGCATAGGCGCACATAACGCACACCATGCGCACTGGGCTGTGGTGCCCCCTGCTGGCGCCTTACTGGCACAGCTGTGTTTTGGGACAAGTAATGGTGTTCGATCCCACTTGAGCTGCCAGCTGGGATCTGTAGTCCTGCAAGGTATTTAGCACTCCGCCAGAAAGTTCTAGCATCTCCAGACTGCAAACCCCAGGATGCCAAGCATGTTGCAGAAGTGGCACCAAAGTGTTAAAAGCTGCGTAGTGCGGAGACGTCTCTATTCTCAGAAATGCACAGAAAGGAAAGGGTGAGGAAGCCATTTGATGGGAAAACCAGCTGAACTTGCCTTGGGGGTGGGGGCTCCTTCCACAACGGTGGAAGTGACCTTACTGTATCATCCAAAATCCACAAAACAGGGATGCCTTTATGCACATCATACATGTGGCAAGCTTTCAAAGCTCCAATGGCTTCTTCTTCATCAAAGGGGTTAGAAACCATAGATGATGAAGAAGCCAGTGGAGCTTTGAAAGCTTGCCACATGTACACTGTGGATTTTAATGTGGCCCCATACAGGTATCCCTGTTTTGTGGATTTTGGACGATACTATACTTTGCTATATGGCCGACTCCTGGAGATGCCCAGTGAAAGGGGCCAACCGTAAGCTCATGAGAGTGGAAAGGGGACCTCCAAGGGTCAGCTATCCCAACCCTCTCCCAGAACAGGATTCCCAAAGCTGTTGCCTGGTCGGTCCTGTTATTGGGACCCCGAGATGTTCCAGAGGGGTCCTTCGTTCAGGGCCCAGGTTCCAGCTGTTGGGCCGCCCTTGGGGGACTGACTCCCTGCCGCCAGATGTGGCAAAGGGTTCCTGAGCAGCGAAAGGCGCATGCCAGCTTGCCTTAGGCTTCTCTGTTCTGGGCATCCAGATGTTTTTGTTGCAGGTGTGTGTGGGGGGGGAGTGGTGGTGATAAAGTGGGGCTGGGCAAGAGGGCCAGAATTGGGGTGGACTGGGGGGCTTCCAGGCCAATGGGAGATAAATCTAGATAGACTTTGGAAGTACTGCAGGAATTCCTGCTCCCAGCCTGGCCTGGGGGTTTGGACTCTGGCAGCTCAAGTCACACTCTCTCAGCCTCAGAGGAGGCCATGGTGAGAACCCACTTGGAAAAGCAGGGCTGCCTTGGAGGGGTGTATGTTGAGACGTCTGGAAGGCGGACCACAATTCCTCTGCAGCCAAAATCAGGCTCCAGGCATCCCAGGATGCGAGGCCAGACAGTGTCCCATCCAGAGGATGGAGAGGGCCCCTTCCTCCC